GTGTGTGTGTGTGTGTGTGTCTGTTCCTGCCTGTCCTGTCGTTAACACAGCCCCTGAGTTTTAAATGGTGTTTGCAAAGTTCTATGTTTAAGGGGCCCAAAAGCTCTGGCATAATGCAGATGTTAGGTGTAAGTGCAGTAACAGTGACTGATTTAACAAGACAGCAGGTAAATTAGAGCAAGTGGCTTGCACTGATTAAGATACTAATAGAATGCGGTATATAATACAAACGCTATTAATGAAATGCTAAACAGGGAATAAACAGGGAAAATTAATTGTATGATATATAAGTATGTTATTAAATCATTTATATGATTGTAGAGTGAAAGACTAAACAGTTTGATGATGGCAGAAACAAGTCTTTTTCGTTTTAAATAGCCCTTGTCCTTCTGTCTGCCTCTCCATCCCCCTCATCTGTCCCTCTGTTCTCGTCCAAGGCCCTCATCCTATTCAAACCCTCTAAAAGTGTTGTTGGGCTGCTCTCTCGTCTCCCAGCAACGGTGTTGCACTGATGTCAGTGAGAGAAAACTGCAAACTGACCTTTTTAAGAAGAGAGTGGAGGAGCGATCTGCACCGTGAGGCTCAGGGCTGCTGTTCCCTGCTTCACATGTTGCTGTATTGCAATAGAGTGGATCCAACCTTAAATGTTTCCTTTACTGGTTTAACTCTGAAGTAGTGACAGTCTGTTCCCTTTACCCATAATGAAGTGTATAATTACCCATAAAGCACAGTTCTTCAGATTTCAGAGCTGTGATTTTATCTGTTGTTCTTGAGACCTTATGTGGTTCCCACTTCGAGCCTACTGAGTCTATGGATATGACATTTCTTGTGCTTTGACCAATGCAAAGCGGCTTCATGCTTTGCCTATGGATCCCTTGTGCACACTCATTGTAGAGGCGATCCTTCTGGCTTACAGCATGGTGACTTCATGGGCATTGTTTAAAGGGCCATCCATGGATGATATCTGTGCTGTACACTGGTTGGTCATTACTAGCTACTTGTGTGTAAAAGGTCTCCAGGGACAAAAGCAATTGTTATTGAAATAACTTTGTGTGAAAACAGCCTCAGACTGTGCAGCTGGACATTATGATTGATTTTGGTAGTTTTTCCCTACTCTAGTCAAGGGTTAAAAACAGAGGTTGTCACACCTTGTACATAATGTTAGCGCTATGAGGCTTATCATGATTTGTGACTATGGGCTTTACAAATAAAATTTGATTGATTGATTAAAGCTGAGTTCAGAATGGGAGCATATGCATGACTGGGCTCTCTGTCAGAGGAACCTTAGGTCAGTTGTGTGGACCAGTATAAATGTTCATGCAGATGGCTAAAAGTTAAAAGGAAAACAGAACCTCATCAGCTCAGTGTTTGTCACAGACCTGCAGCCAATGCTACAACCAGCATAATAGTTTTATATTATTAAAATAATAAAACACAAAGCTGCATTCACCAATTTTCACAATTGCCAAGCAAACTTTCTGGCCTGTTGTAGGAGTCATGTTAAAAAAAAACATGTGTCATATATTTCATTAGTTCAACACTTATAAATAAATGACACCTTATAATTATATTGACATTATTCTGTATAACTGTGCAATTTGAAATTTAATATATATCCAAGTTTATGAATGTACCTGCTAAATGTTGTGAGGTCAAGGGCAGCACAAATAATGCAGTTGGCATATGTCTTGTGCAAGCACACAGAGTTGGCTGGACTTAATTGTCAACCTGCAGAGACAAAACAGGAGTCTCCATTCAACTCCCTGCAAACTCTGTGGATAAGCACAATTTTTCTGAATAAAAACAATTATAGTACATATAGAGTGTATACTAACAGTGGTACAGAGCCTGTCTCTGCAGGGTCTCCAGCTAAACTGGGTCATTTGGAACAGCAACACATCAACCAATTATGGCCAATTAATCCTACTATCTCCGCTGTGGATCCATCCATTTAACCAGCCCGTTCTGCTCAATTTGACAAGCATTCACTCTGACAGCTGATGTGCCATTTCTTTTCTCTCCTCTTTTCTCTCTCACACACAATCTCACACAGTAGCTAGCTCAATACCTAACTGTGGCCCTGCAGCTTAAAGAGCAGAGATGATACCCAGGGAACTGAACACAGTGACCGACAAGTCTGGAATCACAAGCAAAAGGACAAAAAAGCTAATAACCAAAATGTGATCGTAAGATTTAATTTCTTTTAGTGATTTCACAGTGTTTCAATATATTTACTATATACAAAGTAAAGTGATCAGCAGAACAGTTTACAGACCCACTTCCTGCCTAACCTTCACCTATCGGGCGGCTGTGGCTGAGGGGTAACCTAGAGCTATTGGTTTTATGTGCTGATCTGAGTCCAGTATTATTAGTGAGACAGACCCGACATAACTACGCCATCACAGTACAAACGCAAGCACATACCACCGTAAGCTGACAGGTATCTTGGTTATATAATAAACACTGTATCATCTTTTCCTTTTCTGTCTTAAGACAGTTTTGGTAAAAGAATTTTATAGATTGGAGACATTATTCCCCTCCCTAAATGTACCAATGCCTACAGTTATGGATGGAATTATTAAAATGAGTTGTTGATACAACAAGTTCTGTTACATTCTGATGTGGCAAAGCAATTCTTTTTTTCCTCCAATATAATTCCAAGCACTTTGTTAAATGTCAGGCACTGTCCTCTCTGTCGCACTCACTCTCACTCACTGCACTAACCATCTCTTATCTTTTAATAGTGATATCACTGCTGTGGCTAATGTCCTTCTGCACCTCCACCTGACTCACAGTCAGCTTGATTTTAGTGACAGAAAAGTTGTGTTTCCTCTTCTCTCTTGATGATGTAATGATCCACCTTAGAAACCCAATGATCACCAGGTGTATGCACGGTTTAATTATTTTTTGACGCACTCCATTTTCAGGTTATGTAAATATTAATATGTAAATATTTGGTATTAATCCTGTGCACTGTTTCTTAAAGTGCTCCACACTCTGTGTAAAAGGGTCAACTCAGCAGCTAACTTTCCAGAGTTCTTTATCCAGTAGAAAAATGTGTGCTGTGCTGAGTTGCAGTGTAGTGCTATTTTTCATGGATGCAATTAGTGCAGTTAGCAAAGGGAGGAACTCCCCCCGGTTGGACCAACAGTGACCAGAAGGTCTTATCTGTATGGCAGAAAAGGTGGTACATACAGTCCATCTCACTGGTTTCCCAAAGTTCAGTCTCATCAACCCTTTATCTATACACTCTCAGTCAAAGAACTTTGAATGACCCTAAATGCAGAGACTGTTAACCTTGACTGAATGTGCACCTTTTTAAACGGCACAGCCTTTTTACACACTGATGACTGTAAGTTAGGTTTCACAGTTACAAACTTGAATCAGTCTTCTATCTATCCCTTTCCACATGTGCGTCGCAGGACAGAGGCACTAATGCTAAAGATGAAAATCTGTGAGTTTTGATATTGAGCTATATAAAAAAAAACTATTTAATAGCCACATTAAGCACAATATGAACCTTGTGCAGCATCTGTTGTGTGTCATTGGGGCTTAAATACTCCTTACCTTACCTTACACTGTAAAGTGATACATAAAGAGATAATGTATATTATAATTCGTCGCTATACAAGTAAAATCAAATTGAATTTAATTAAAGCATAAGGCTGGAGTTACTTTATAAAATGTGATAGTAAGTCTCTCAACACTTTCTGACTCCCCTACCCTCTCTGTGGCTGTCACACACTTGGTGTTTCCCTGTGGAAAGAGTTCCTTGAAAAATAAATGCAATAGAAGAAAAAGGGTTATAAAGGTTAAAACATTCTTCAGTTACACAAAGCATGCAGCAAGTGGCTCACATGCAGCTTCAGAAAAGCAGGAGCCTAACAGAGTACACCACATATATCAATCACCTAGTTTGCCTATATGAATGCCCTGGCAGTGGCTGTGGTGACCCTTTATGAGCAGAAGCAGAGGAAAGGCAGGCAGAGGTCACATTCAGTTTATTTCACAGCCAATTTGCTAAAGTGTCATTCTTCCCCTGCAGGTTGGAGTGGGTGGAGATCATCGAGCCGCGCACGCGGGAGCGCATGTATGCCAACCTGTTGACGGGAGAGTGTGTTTGGGACCCTCCACAAGGGGTTTGCATCAAGCGGACTGGTGAGAATCAGTGGTGGGAGCTATTTGACCCCAATACCTCGCGCTTCTACTATTACAACGCCTCCACCCAGCGCACAGTTTGGCACCGACCCCAGGCCTGTGACATCATCCCCCTGGCAAAGCTGCAGACCCTGAAGCAGCACACTGATGCTACCAACCCCCGTCCTGCAGGAGGAGGAGGAGGAGGGCGAGCGTCAGCAGACAACAGCCCGGGACGGAACAGTGGTGTCAGCCGAGAGGGAAGCACTTCCTCTTCCCTGGATCAGGAGCTGTCTGAAAAACAGGGCAACAGAGAGGAGGCAGACAGGTAAGGACGTTGGTGCGTTGGTGAGTCACTTGACAGTATCAGAGACCAAAACTGGCCAAAGAGACAACGCCAAGTAATTATATAACTTTCTTAAGTAAACACATGAAATAAGACAACCACTGATACCTGTGAAACTGTGTTTACAGGTGTTGGAGCACTGTGAAAAGATATACAAAGTCTGACTAACTGTAGGCCACCAGTTTCTGACAGTTAAGAAGAATGCATGGACCAAACAACACAATTTGATTATTATCTTTAACTTTTCTCTTGAGTCACACATGTGCTGAATTTTTCTGAAGTCCCAAATCAAGATCCCTAATCCCAAACAGTGACTATAGATTAAGTTTTAAATGAAGCCAATATCAGACATATCATGAGGATATTCCAGAGAATTGGGTCTGGACTTTCTCTGCAGTTATCTTCATGCATGAACAACGCAGCTATAGAGTCTCTGTTGAGACACATTCACAACAGCAATAAATACTCTGCAGGACTCAGATGAGGGGTGTTGCAGCAGATATGGATGTACACAGGATGTAACGTATTAATTTTGCTACAGCAAAAGCATCAACAATGACATCAACATGGAAACTATCTTTACAAACTCCCTCTATGTGTATGGCTCCACTTTTTCATCCGGAGATGTTTTTATTTCCTTTTTTCTTTCCATTTTTGCATCTGTCGCGTGTTAGAAGCGTCACATCAACCCACCACTCGCTCGCAGTGAATCCAGTACGTGATCCCCTGCTTTCTGCAGACTTTAAAATAGGGTGATAGGTGGAGAAAGTCCAGAGGTTTTCACTGAAATGTACTTTCAGTGACGAATCTCCAGATTTCAGACCATGTATGAAAGCAGATGTAGTAACACGCACACACACACACACACACACACACTTTATTACACCATTAAATCACCCTGCTCCTAGTTCATGGTATTATGCAACCTTATCGACCAAACACATTTTTATGTTGCTTTGTATCAAACTATATAACCAACTGAATTCCCCTGGCCTCACCCCCTCACCTTCACAGGATATAGGGGAACCTATGGTGGTCTTCAGAAGGGGCCTGTCTCGACCCAATTTTAGTTTTATCCATTTTGGACTATTGTAGAAACGTGGGGGATACTTTGAAGAGTTCTTTCTACTGATTTAGATACTGTATAAAAGGCTCATTTGAGTATAACAAAAAACACAGTGCTACTTAGTTTCAGATAATTATACACCAATAAAAACATCATTCTGAATTCTCTATTCAATTTTCATCAATAGATCTCACACACTGGACCTCTAAGTTGCTCTTTAGTCTTTTTGCCTGTTGAGTCTGAACTAAACGCAAAGTTGTGAGTCCAAATCATGTTGTTTCAAAGTAATTTACACAGTGCATTAGATCAGTAGTAGTCGAAGTGTAAATATAGATGATCATTTCAACCTATGTGCTGTATCATAAAAACTAAATAGTTAAAGGTTCTGCACAATGTTAATAGACAATCAGAGTGGCGGAGGTACAAGGGTGAGAGTGAAAGGGAGAAATAGAGTAAACCTCAAATTTTGTCTGATGGTCCTCTGTGATGAAATAAAGTTACATTATCCCACATTATATAAACCCAGTTTACAGTACACCTGTCCTCTCCATCTCTTTATGTGTCATTAACTTGCCTCCTTTTCTTTCCCTCTTTTTGCCTTTCTCATTCACCCCTCTCTCACCTCTCTTTACACTCACTTTGTCTCTGTATCAACCTCAGCATCACCCCCCTCCCCTCTGTCTAACTAGTCTCGGTTTGCTGGCTTGCTGTAATCTGCTGCAGTCTGCGGTGATTGGTGGATATGTCTGGCTAGGGGTCACTGTGTCCTGTAAATGTATTCTCTACTTCAGTGGGAGGACACACACACACACATGGATGGTTTGAGTACACACAGAGTGCCATAACTGTTCTATCCAGTTCTTCATCACCAACAGCTAATCACTGCTCTTGCAGACAATTACAGCCCCTATGTGTAAGTGGCTGTAGGACAGCGATGAGTATGGTGATGCACCGTTGTCAGACTAATGCAGCCATTTTACTAACAACCCCAATGACCTGCTGACTAGCTGATGATTTTGAGAGTCATATTCTTACGATGTATGGGGAGGATTCATCTGGTGGGCATGAATGTGTTCAGTTGATTGGATTTATTGATTAGATTTTCATATTTTGCGTGAAGTGTTGGCCTAGACAAAAGGTCAGAGGTCACCAGAGCCATTAGAAGCCAAACCCTTTGGCAACCACAAATATCCAAACAAAATTTAATGATAATCTGTCAGGATATTTGCTCCGACCAAAAGTTAAGATAAATACTTAACTGTAATGATTATTGTTATTTGGTTAGTTTTTGTTGACTCCGACTGAAAAGTTTTATTTTAACTATATGTTAATTATAAGAATTGTAGTTCAGCTGGACATTTTTTTTGATTAATTGTTTTAAGTTACCCCTGATGTAAACCAAACATTTCACATTAAAAGTGTTACACTGGCAAACCAACAGGAGGCTGTTGTGAAAAGGCTGTTGGAAAGACAAGATGAACTTGAGAGTAAGGCTGGAGATGCTCTCTAGAGCGGTGAATGAAAGCAGGACAGGCAGTTTGTCATAGACCACACAGCTTCCTCTCTGACAGATGGGAGCTATTGACCTCTACCCAGCTCAACCTCCACACACACACACACACACACACACACACACACACACACACACACACACAGAGGATCCCATTAAAGGAGTGAGGGAGGGACAAATGGAAAGAGGGAGGCAGACAGAAAGGGCGAGCAATAAAGGGGATAGGAGGACAGTAGGATACATAATCTCTGGTAGTTTGTATTAGGGATGTCCGTCGCCATCTAGGGATGTGCACTTCCATCACTGAGGTCACTGTGATATAAACCTTGATATAATGCAACAATACAATATATATTTTACATATAAAGCAACTGATAATGTGCCATGATTTGATTCACTATGTTGCTAACATATGATGCTGGGCAATGAAATATGGTTTCACTAAGGGCTGCAGCTATTGATTATTTTAGTAATCCAGTATTCTATCGATTATGGTAATTTGATAAAAAAGTGACATTTGCCAAATTAATTTAACCCACCGACCACCAAGTGGACATAACAAACACAGATAAGATATGGGAAATAATTTATTCGGTATGGAAATGCTACCTTGTTAGAAGCTCGGCTAAACACCCATGACGACTATTTACACCTCAACCAAACACAATTCAGACATCAAGCAACTAAATCAGTCCACAAAGCTGACAATCATGCTACTCCAAACACAATTCCTTATATGAGCCACACACATGCACTACACTCATGAAACAATGACAACAAATACGGAGTTAGACATCTTATATGTTACTATGAGAAGTGCAAAACAATTCCTCATCATTATGAAACTGTGTCGAGATGAATTGGACTGGGGCAGTTTAAATAATTAATGTGAGACACTGACACAACTTGAGGCAGTACTATATCCTGAGCAGTAGAATTAAACAAAGCTTTAATGCAAAGAATTTCAATTTTTCAATAAAGTTATTCAAGTAACTTAAGTAATTGATGCAGCTGTAGTTTCATTTGTTAAATAATATTATTTTATTTTATTGGTTGTTCTCAGACAAATCACATTTAAACCTTATGCCAATAATAAAGGCAAAGGGTCTCTAACAATAACTTTTTATAAATTAATTGAATCTTACTGATGCAAAGATTTTAGATTAAATTATCAATCGATCAAATTGTATTTGTATAGCCCATATTCACAAATCACAATTTGTCTCATAGGCCTTTGACTTAATTTCCCTTCGGGGATGAATAAAGTAATCTATCTATCTAACAAGCTGTGACATCTTCTGCCCTTAAACCTCAACAAAACTAAGGAAAAACTACCAAAAAACCCGTAGAAACCTCAGAGAGATTCACATGTGAGGTCACTCTCCCAGGATGGACAGAAGTGCAATAGGTGCCACGTGTAAATTATGCATCCTCTCAAACTATATCTGGTGAACACCTTTAATCATGGCAACTTTTTTGCATCTTACCATCCTCAATCTATATTTCTCTCACAAATAGTATGAATCAGAATCACTTCATTTATCTGTGCCGAATGTAGACAGCACAGAAACATACAATTAATTCACAGATTTCATTTAATATTGAGCAAAAACATTTTTCACACAAATACATAGACATTAGCACACACAGCCAAGGTCACATGAAATCATTGACAGCCAGTGAATAGAAAGATTTTTAGGACTGCTGCTGCTCTGAAAGAGTAGAGCAGCTGATAGCAGAAGCAGTGGTAGTAGTTTCTATTGTGAAGATGATTTGTTTTAATCTCTATTTTATTGTGCCTTTTTTGAATCTCCTCTCTGCATTGGTCAAGGATGTGATGCCATTCAAATGCTTGAGGGGCAGTCAGAGTGAATTCTTTGTCACACAGACTAGTTCCAAGTATATTTTTTGACTTTTTTCAAGAAAGATAGTGGAGAGAGAAAGTGAATTTAAGTGAATGGGCTGCTTTGAATGGTCTGTCACTGAGTGGACCCACTGTTCATGTGGTTTATTTCCTGCCAGTTCCAAAAGTGAGCATGCCTTTGTCCTTGGTCAGGCCTAGACCTTGGCCAGCTACATTTTAGATGGAAATTGACTCTGGCATTACTGATATGCCTGATATTACTAAATCTTACCTTAAAAGAATATTGTCTTTGTTATAAACTCTTTGTAGATGCTTGAATTAATACGTTTTTCTTCCAGAGAATAAGGCTGAATTGTAATTTCCTTTCCAAGTCCAAACACTCAAGAATTACAAATTGACATTGTCACTTCCTCCTTCTGCACAAACCTTTTACCTGCCCCCTCTCCATCTCTTATTGTAAAAGGGAATTATTCATGGTAGTCCAGGAACCTGGCCTTGAGGCTGCTTTTGTCCTCGAATCTTTGACGCTGTGTGTGTATGTG